CACAATTACCACTTCACTGAGAGTACTTCTACATTGTAAGAAGCCAGACCTTGCTATTATCTTGAAAATAAAAAAAGAAGCATGGATTGAGGCATAGCAAAAGCCCTCTGAACTAGCATAATGTTGACTAAACCATATGCTACTACTACTTCAGTGGCAATCAGTTACACTTAAGCGTGATAGTTGTGAGAAGAAGTAAGAAAATGATTCTTGGCACGACTGACTGCGAGTGACTGAACATCTCTTGAGGGATAATAAAGAAAACCACATCTTAAACCTTTTAGACCTGGCGTCCATTACTATGAATGTGCATGTGACTCTGCTTTAGATCTTGTCAATGAAAGGTTGTATGTTTAACAGCTAATCAAATAGCAATATCGACCTTCATATTTTTATTTTAGAAAAATAAAGCACACTGACGACAGACATAATGGCCCTTTAGCCAAAGTGCAAAAGTAATGGTCCTTAAAAACTTTTTTATATTAACAGGCATCTCATAACAGTTTGATAGATTTATTGTAAGATTAAACAAATTTGTATGTATAAGTCCTATTTCAACTGTAGCTTTACAACTTTGGCCATTAAGTATTCTTTTTTTGACAGACCATGTTTTCTGTCCAAAAATTAGAGTCTAAAGGAAACAATCCACAATACTGTCCACAGTTTGCTGCATACAATGCTTTGTGGTCTTTTACTGTGTTTTTGTGAATGGACAATTAATCAGTGACATCTCTTTAAATCAACATTACATACTTTCTTTTCCATGTTTTTACTTTTTGAAAAATCAATGCTTGATTAACTGCAAAAACCTGGTCTTTGCTGAGAAAAATGATGATGGTGTCTAAATTAAGGAGCACAAACAACATCATATCAGCATCTCTCTTTCACCTGATCATGTTCTTGTTCAACTTTTTGATGTATTAGAAAGCAGTAATATTGTCTGTAAAAGGACAGACAACAAAGTGAGCTCATATTAGAAGCATAATGTGTTATAAAGAATACATAAACCAGCCATGTATGGACAAACTGTCTGCCTTCACTGCCTTTGAATGCTGCTAGTATATGGCCATAAGAAATACTGAGACACTTTCTATTTTTCAATATTTGCCCTGAATCCTCAGACTAGACACACTACGCAGCAGTGTTCAGCTGTGTCTGCCCATAGTGCTGTTTGTCAGGCTGGCTATAGCCACTGTTACAAATCACCAGCAGGCAGCCTTGTTAAAACACTGATGTGGTTTAATGGCTGATGTCCGAGACTTGGGTACATCTGATGAGCTCTCAGCAGACATTAATGTCCAACCATATCCACAAGAGCAATCACAATTCTGGCTGAAGTTTTCTTGTTTTGTATTTCTTTTTCACATAGTGAAAGTAATTTCTAAACTAAATCTAGACTACGCAGCCTTTTTGGTTCTACGCTGACTAAATTGTTACGAACATCTCATCTAAAAGTTGTTGGCATTCAGATACAGTAGGAGGCTGGCCTGAATCCACGAAGCCCAAAACAGCGACTTAATTCAGCTACCAAAGTGCCTGCAACAAACTGAAGAGAAAAACGAGCCTTCTTATGTATTTTCAGCCTCAGCCAAGCTCACCCATCCATGAAAATCCCATCTCAGGGAGAGAGGAGGTGAAGACCTGCGAGCACACACACATTCACTCGCACACAGCAGACAGTAAAGGACACACCGCCAGATCCTCACTAAAGCCCTTTATCCTTATCATAACTACTCCCACAATTACTCACATGAGTGGTTTACCTGTTTCCGCCAAGCCATGCTGCATTTTTACTGTCCTAGTGATACGAAAACCTCTAGGCACCAAACATTAACTGGGCCGCTACAGACAGGCACACACAGCGGTTACATCATGCTGGAGTGTGAGATGCAATACTTAAAGCGTAGACAGATACACAGGGCGGCATGCTCGCATATATACACACACTAGGGCTGGGCGATATAGCAAAAAAATGTATCAACGATATAATGTTTCATATCGTTCGGTATTGATAATTATTGACATTTTTTTATAACCTTTTTTAAAACAGAGCAATAGAAAAAAACTTTTAAATTTAACCACTGTATTTTTAAATTAACCCAATTTATTGAGACAAATAACAAATATTTTTTGTTTTAACAAAATAAAAATTTAACAAATATCTCATTTCTAATGTTTTATATGCAAATTAAATAGGTCTGAAGGAAACTTTTGGCTCGTCTCCCGAGGCCACAGGAGGGCGCAATGAGCAAAATAATGCAGCACTTAACTGGGCCGCTACAGACAGGCACACACAGCGGTTACATCATGCTGGAGTGTGAGATGCAATACTTAAAGCGTAGACAGATACACAGGGCGGCATGCTCGCATATATACACACACTAGGGCTGGGCGATATAGCAAAAAAATGTATCAACGATATAATGTTTCATATCGTTCGGTATTGATAATTATTGACATTTTTTTATAACCTTTTTTAAAACAGAGCAATAGAAAAAAACTTTTAAATTTAACCACTGTATTTTTAAATTAACCCAATTTATTGAGACAAATAACAAATATTTTTTGTTTTAACAAAATAAAAATTTAACAAATATCTCATTTCTAATGTTTTATATGCAAATTAAATAGGTCTGAAGGAAACTTTTGGCTCGTCTCCCGAGGCCACAGGAGGGCGCAATGAGCAAAATAATGCAGCACATTACGTCTAAATTAACTCATTTAATCAAACATAATTTCGTAAATTGCATAAACAATTATGAACAAAACAGCATCATGTATTTATGCATTGCTTAATACAAAGAGTCGAATCGCCCATCCCACAGATTGCCTTTAAAAACATATGAGATGCAGTGAAACGGAATAAACCTCCACAAATTCGTGACGCGTTTTCTAAAAGTTTAAACTGTTTTAGCTTTGCATGGCTTTCTATACATCTCTTGTGTGAGACGCGAGTGCAGCAGTCATATTTGTCCGTCTAAAGAATGTGCTGAATATGCATTCTGTGTGAATGCCGTGGTTTCGGTTTTAACCTAATCAATATCTTCTACGCATTGAGCTACTATATTTCTCTAATATTTTGAATGAATAACGCAGCAACTGCGCATCTTGTGGGCTAGACTTATAAAACATTAAAATGCAACAACGTCACTTACATCATGATCACCGCATCTCGCGCTCCACTAATGACACTCCCAGATGCACACCTAACATTTGATTGTACTATTTTTGCATTCAAATGCAAATGTTTATTTTAAATAAAAACATTTTATTCACAATCTCCTCATCACAGGCAGGGACAGCACTCAATTCAGCATGTGTTCGTGTTTGTGTGTGCGGTCTGCGTCACTCATAGCACGTGCCTATAGCGTGCGCTATATCGTAAATTGTTTCTATTGTTATCGAAGAGGGTGTACCGTCGATAAATATCGATACCGTTTTATCGCCCAGGCCTAACACAGACCATCTGAAATATCAACATGACTGCAAACAACTGCTTCTGCCGTTTACATTACATCTCTGGGCATGTTCATTAAAATCTTTGAGCTTTGAAATGGCAAGGACTCACTCAATGGCATAATGAGCAGACAGCACAAGAAGATGAGGCTGATTTAACTCCACTTACAAATTTACACAAAAAATGAACAGGCTTAATTACACAGATCAACTAAGTGTTCAGAGGTGCCAAGAGAGAAGATATACTGCCTATTAAACATGAGAACAGAGCCACTTCTAGGGTAACCAAAGCTCCATATAACACACAAAGTTGTATTAACATGCACATGATCCCACAACAAATGCTTTATGATTAAAGTCCAACATAAAATATGCATGTTTTATACTCTAAGGGGAAATGTGTCTAGTAGTGTTGACAAATCATTTCAACAAATAGTAGCGCTCAGTCTTGCTGTGCTATTGGATGGATGTTTTTCAAAGGTCGATGCTAGCATTTGAAGCACAGGGGCTACATACACACTGCAGCTAAATTTGGTTGACAGCTTACCTTTTAATGCTTAAATCTGTTCTGTACACACAGAGTTCAGTAATTTATAGGACTGACAACCACATTCTACAACAGAATTAAGTTACGAAAAATGTAGGTAGTGACAACCACATTTACAAAAATCCTATGCAGTGCATACAGAATTGTACTGAACAACTAGTTATTAATGACATATTTACAAATGCATCACAGTTGTGTCTCTCTTCTGTATGTGCCATGCAAAAAATCACTGTAAAAGTGGTGTCTTGATTCATTCTTGTTGCCAGATCTTGCCAAAAAAAGACAGCCAACAAGAACAAACCCAAATAAATCAAAATACTTTATCTTGGAAAGAAGACCAAAATTTTCACGACCTGAACCTGCCTACTTTATTATTTCCATATATTGGATGGACTTATGAGCCCAAACAACAAGCCCTGAGACACTTATAATAAGTGGGCATGGCAACACTTCAAGAGTGAGCTCTGTGAAACAGCTTTCCCATCTTAAACAAAACATGACAGTTCTGTCGACAGTTGTTTAGTTAAAATCCCCAAACATACCAATTCTTTGGTCACTGTAATATTACTTTGGTCAAAAATAGAGGATATCAAAAGTGAGACACGAAGATGTTTACCATGGTGTCAGTCATAAAAATTTCACAGTCAGTTCTGTTCCATACACACACAAAACCATAATTCGGGGAATTCACTCCCATATTTAAATGCGGTTGTCTCTACTGAAGCTTTACAGTCTGTACATAACCAAGGTGTGCCAGATCTTACCCACCCACTGTCACTTTCAGTTATTAACAACACATCCGATATCGACAGCATACCCCCGTCAAAGCACTGACTCGTCAATCATCACAGAAAGCCCCAACATGAAGTCCCAAGGGAGGAGAGGACGACATGAAATCAAGAGGTAAATAAATGAATCGATGGATGAATAATAGATTAGGCAGCAAGTGGCCCCTTCGAGCAATGCCACGAATGCAATATTAATAAGCAGCTCTTACTGTTCGTCTCTGTGTCTTCACTGACACTCTTAGGAGGAGCATGGGCCGAATAACACACAGCTGATCTGTACATTCGATCCGGATTACGGATTTTCTTCAGTCCTTCAGGAAGCAAAGAGAGAGTGGAGAAGAAAAAAAAGAATTCTGGGAAAAGTACACATTCCCGGATGTACAACTTTGTTTTAGTCTTTATTTCCCCCATGCACATAGCAGGAACTTATAAGAATGTTTACCAGGGTCAGCAGTGTAGCGTCTGCCGAACCCCAGTCTCCCTCCCATCAGCAAGCCCATGCATCCCAAATGTGTCCATCTCCATGCTGAAGAACACCTCTCCCAAACAATATGCACCGTTCGGCCTTAGAGTTCAGCATGCCTATTTGCTTCTCCCCCTTTTTTATCAAGCGCATTCAGGGGTGCATTTAAAGGGATTACTTTGGCTTAAGGTGCTGCCTTATGAAGAGAAAATGTAGTTTCGTTTGCAGGCAGGGGTATGGACGAGGAATGTAAAAGCACCCGGTTCCCTTGTAACTTCAGACCGCATGCACATTTTCATTAACTATAACAAAGTGTCATAGATGGCTCCAGCTGTTAATGGCTAGAAGTGTTACACTGCCAAGAGAGAAAACAATCTATCTAGACCACTGTACAGTAGTAACTCCAATACTAACTGTTTTTTTTTTTCAAAATCACCTGACGTGTTGCGCGTGTTTGCCTGTGTTTCTTGTATTTTTTCACTTTTCACCTCAGTCTTGCTGATAAATCTGTAGGTGCTGAAATAAACAGTCAAGAAACAGCCCCTAACAGGTAGCGATGAGGGCAGCAATCAAATTCATTGTGGTCCTAGGGCTGTTTGGTGAGGCTCAATTTTAGTAAGCTACACCAATCGATGAACTTAATGTGTGTTTCTGTGTGAGGCAGGTAGGGAAGGATCGAGACAAGTCGAAAGGATCTGTTATGACTCCCCAGGAAGAAGTGGCATCTCCATCCATCAAAATAAAAAATGTCAAAGCATACTTTCAAACTAAGGAAAATGACTATGCAGAGATCTTTAAAAGTTAATTTTCTACATAATGGCTCAATATGTCACAAATCCCTCTTTGGAGAGCTTGAATCCTTCCTGCTTCTACTTATAGTCAGTTGTTGTGATAAACAGCACCCTAGTCTCTGAATGAACCACCAAATTCAAATAGATGTGTGTAAAAATATGGAGCACCAACATCATCAAAAATTTAAATAATCCCTTATCATTTACTTATTTTTGTGTTTTACAAAAGAAAGAAAGTCAGGTTTAGAACTTGATGACAGTGAGATTTTATTGTTGTTGTAGTTGTTTTTGGGTGAACTGTCCCTTTAAATGTACAGTTCCTTCGTACATCTCAATCCACCATCACCACCTTCCATAGGTACAGTCCCAGTTCCTGGCCATCTAAAATGTGAGCTAGGTCATATCAGGAGACAGAAGAACTCTATGGGAGACATTAACCATGTTTTCATAGCAGCCTCCAGCTAAGAACAGCCTGTCCTTATGTGCAAAAAACCCTGCCAAATAATAAGGCCCTGGAGAACCGTGCTCTATGCAAACATTTTAAATGCTTCAAGGACAAAAGGTTAAAATACAGGCAACAATCAGTGCTAAAATGAATGGCGTGCAACACGTATAATGGCAAACTACATGCTGAAAGTGAATAGGCCTAGAAATTAAATATAACACACTGCTGGCTATATGGGACTCTGAATTTAGTTGTAGCCATACGGTGCGGAGCACTCTATATTACTATGGAGGTGTGGAACACTAGCTCCTCCCCCATACATTGACCTGACAAGCATGACAAAAATAACCGAGCCTGTTCTGCAATGGGAGTCACAAGTCGGGGTTTCTAAAAAGCTCTTGGCTACTGAAATGCATTGGCAGGAAGCAGGCCAGTCTGACACACGTTTCAAGGCTGGTTGTGTTTGTTTGCATCTGAAATGCACACACAGACATGCAGAGATTGACACATGCCACATGCACACACCCACAATCAAGCACATACACACACAAAGAAAGAGCTAGTTTAGGTAGTAAGCCTCAGTGCTGTTTTGAAAACAAACGTAGATTTATATTTATGGTAATGTTTGTATTCTTAGCTGACACAGTGTTAAAAATATAACAGTGAACATTTAGGAAGCTCAATACCACCCCCTTGTGGATTTCTATATGTTCGGATCCCTGTGTTTGTCTGGAGTTATGTTTTAATGTCAGTTTATATTAGGATAATTTATTCTATCTATAGTTTATCAATATGCATAATTTACTACACAAAAGTGAGGTTTTATGATCAAACATATCTTTCACCTTCTACTAGGCCAGGGGTAGGCAAGTTCGGTCCTAGAGAGCCGCAGTCCTGCAGAGTCCAGCTCCAACCCTGAAAAAAAAACTCACCTGCCTATAGCCTTAGTAATCCTGAAGACATTGATTCGCTTGTTCAGGTGTGTTTGATTAGGGTTGGAGCTGAACTCTGCAGGACTGCGGCTCTCTAGGACCGAACTTGCCTACCCCTGTACTAGGCTATTCACCATCATGAAAATGGACAATTCATCATGACACTATGATTTATCAACTCGTTTTGCTGTCTTTAAAGGTTCCCTAGAGGCTAGTTTGTTAACTATCAAAAACGATTTATAGACTGAATTTTTGTTTTAGCCAAACGTATTTTTTTTTCGAGATATGTTATCACGCTTTCCCCAAATAAAGTTTATTTAACTCAATGTCGCCACCTTGTGGTTAATAAACAATTATTTGCTTTGATCTCACGCTGAAGGTGAATTGCAAACAAAAAAAATCCTCGCAACTAATGACGACTTGCCAAAACCTCGTTGTGTATACGTTTCATATTCACAGAAATCTGTCATATGAGCTGATGGCAGCTTGACACAACTGTTCAAAATGCAATTCTGGTCAGAGCTTCAATAATACTAAAAACAATACTGTTGACTACGTCAGACAATAATAATTAAAATCGTATTTCAGCCAAATTTAGCAGCGAAATAATGTGGACATGCATTGCAATGCAACTGTATTAGTGTCTCTGAGTCAAACCAACTCGTTGCCTTATTCATTCAAGTAACAAATCTGAAAAGTATTCCAAACAGTGTTAAAGAGAAATGGTTATGTATAATCTTCAATAACACCTCTTCTTTCTTCCTGGCATAAGAATAAAATTTCGTTTTGCGTTATGGTCGCCACATTCCATTCTTGGTTATACAAGAATATAGTTCAGAGATTTAAACTGCTATTTATGTGTATCTGACGTAAAAGGGGCAAACTGGTATAGAAGAATGTGTCCTTGAAGCAAATTTCAAAGTGAAATATCTTTGACCACACATTACAAAACCGCAAAAAAGAAGGTCAGTTGGAGTCTATGGACGCGTGAAAGTGGCCGAGAGGGGGGCAAATCGACTATTAAACAAGCTTACCAGCCGTATTTTTATGACTCCTGGCTGTAAGGTAGTTTTAGGTCAAACTACGGTCTCCAGAACTCTATCCCCGCCAACTCAGAAACAATTTAGAGGAAGCTTGGAAAATCGAAAAAAAGAAGTTGGAAATCGACAGTCGTTGCGGCTCACAAGTTTTGCTTTGAGCGCGACCGTTAGGCTGAGGGAAACGGAGCGCGAGACGGGTTTTTGAATTTTCAGAGGCGCTCGCGCTTTTGCTCCGGATTGTTTTTAAATATGTGTGATGCACACTGCTGGCTAGCTACCGATGCTGGCTAGGGTGATGTGATGTGATGTGATGTCTGTGCTGGAATAACGAGTGTGTGAGGATAAACACAGAGGCTTTACAATCCCAAAAGCTCCTCGGTTCTCAACTGGCGGCTCTTCCCTGCCTGCCTCCAAATTTTTCCCCTCGCACACTCTTGTCGTACAAGTCAAAAATATCCCCGATGTTTCTGACTTACCTTCCGGCTTGTTTTCGGCAGCCATTTCCCCTCCGCGCGCCACATCCTCCTCCTCCTCTTCACGAGCGTTGGGTACCACGCGCGTTCACGCCGAGGACAGCAGCACGAGAAGCAGGGACTGGCGAGGCAGAGGCGAGTCCAGCCGGAGCGCACTCACGATTGGCTGTCCAACTATGACTGACCATGTTGTTCTAAAATGGCTTGCGAGAGCAAAGCAAATATCCTCCCCTTCAAAGTGTCTCTGAGAACCATTGGGTAAGGCGTGATGTGTAGATACACCTTAAGAAGAACCGAACCAATCCAAAGTGAGCGCTCGTGAGACGTTCGCGTGCAAATGAAAAGACGATGCAAATGTTTCAAGTTGCTCATTTCAAACGTATTTTTCTGAGCTTTTTGCGCCGACATTTTATTCGTAAGCAATTCAGGACAGGTCATTTGTACGTCAAGTTAATGGCCTTTATCCATTTTATAAATATAGCTCTGCTACCAATGCATTGTAATCACTTTTACGAAAACTTTCGACCAAGTTGAATTGAATTTGCAATGAATAAAATCACGTAAAATGGCAGAAGTCATTGTGACAAGTTCAATGGATGTTGTATGATAATTATGGAAACATTTTTTTTTTTTTACAAATTGCTGATGGTTATAAAGCCACCTGCGTTAAAACGCAAAAGCTGTGCGTTTTTTATGTTGTTGAAGCAATGTATGCCATTAGAGATAGATACATAGCAATCCATAGGTTAACCTTGAAGATGAAGCAACGTTTGGGCTGAATGCGCTGAAGTGCTGAACAGACAGCTCCAGGTGGAAGCAGCGGTCTACTGTCACAGTGCGCTTTCACGAAAAATTTAGCACCCCAGACCTCCTAAATATCTTATGGTTCACTGAAAGTATCCGGAAAGTATCCTACACTGCTGAGCTTGCGAGAGAAATAGTTTCTGATAGTCTATTCCAATAGTGTATGCATAATGCTGTGGTCTGGGTCCCATCTGAATTGCTTAGAAAACCTCAAAACTGCGTTTAGGAATATGGAAGCCGTATTATAACCGAGCTGATTAATTATTCGTTAGATTAAGCATTCGTTAATTGCATTGAGCATATAGATAATGGCTTAAATGCCTCTCTGCCCGCAGCGAATGCCCGCCATGAAATGTTATCTATCATTAAAGCGTCATCTTTATTGCTTGCAGTTGCCTGATAACACGAGTGCTTTCCAAATCCTTATCTGTTCATTTGCGAAGAGAAAAATCTTGGATTGTTGAATAAAATATTCTAAATGACCCGTGGAGAAAACATTCGGGCCAGTCTATCAGACGAAACATCTGGTAATGGAATAAACATAACATTGTGACTTATAAACAACATATGACTGAATAAATCAAGCTCAATGTGTATGTAGCAAAGGTTTAATTTAGGATTAGAAACGTGTTCAGAAGGCTAACAATAATACATAAAGCTCTTGAAAAATGTTGGTTTACTACAGCTTTTGAGGCACTTGAATTCTCTAAGGGACTGAAAATTATACTACAGCACAATTCCTTATGGAGCATCTGCAATCTGTTCTTGCCAAGGATCACACATGGCATCACACAGAGGTCTTCACAGGCTATCTACTCCTTACTTAAATTCCATTGCGTCACAAAAACATCTTTGTTTCCATCCATTTAACTTTAATCACAATAATTTCTTTTCGAAGTTGATTTTATTCGCCTGTAATTAAAATCGAAGTGGACTTATTTAATGATTGCACACATACTGACACGACACTGATTTATTATTGGCTTTTTTTTTTCAAACACTAATGGAACTCAGCTTGGATCTGACGTCAACTACAGCCCATTAACTAACTGAATGTTAATTAAGGCCAAAAGAGGGCGCCGGTTGACTTTTTAACTGAATACATTTAATTAAACTAGAATGTTGGATAAATAAAATGTCTAGAATGAATAAAAGTCTGCTAGAAACATCTTTTAAGTCTTCAGTTTGAATGTATTTATTATTTTTAGATATTCTTTGTGGATACTTGAATGACGCTCCTGTTAAAGTCTAGGCTATATTTTGCGTTTACATCACGTAAAAGTATTTAAATCAGATTATATGTACAACATCCCAAAAGTAGGCTAATATAAACACGCTTGGACACTGATCAATTTGAAACGAAAACGCGAAAACGCACAATGTCGAGGAAAACTTTCTAGTGTAGGTTAAATTAATAGGCTATATATTACATAGCACATAATGTGGTTGTAAAATATAAAATGTTGCATATTTTATTGGTACATTATACATAGATGAGTATGTGGATTTTCCTAAGCGAAAAAAAGGCCATTAAAAAAAGATTTTTATGTCGTCTGGACTACTGAACAAACATTTAGGAGTTTATTGTAAAGTGCAAAATGCGAAAATAAGGCTATGTGAAATTTTTACAACATGTTTGTGTCTCCAAAGTTCTACCAACACTTGCGGTCTTCACGCACACTTGAAAACCTGAACTAAATACAGAAAGGACCGGTCCGTATACGTATCTATTGAGACAGGCCCAAAGAACTCTCTCTTACGTCTTTTTGCTCAGTGTTTCCTCCCATCCTGAGGGTGGCTTTTTTTAAAGGGATAGTCCATTCAAAAATGTATATTCTGTCATCATTTAATCACTCTCATGTTGTTCCAAACCTGTATGCGTTTTATGACATAATATGAAAAATGTTGATAACCAAACCAGTTCCCCTTTGACTTCCATTGTTTTGGAAGTAAATGAAAACTGAAACTGTTTAGTTACCAACATTCTTCAAAATATCTTCTTCTGTGTTCCACAGAAGAAAGTAAGTCATACAGGTTTGGAACATCATTAGGCAAATGATGACACAATTTTCATTTTTGGGTGAACTATCTCTTTAACAGACCCTTTCTCTGTAGTAAAACACGTTTTTAATACCTAGTCATGAATATTTCATGATTGTGATTTATGTTCTTTTGCAGTACTAAGTGACCCACAATCTAGAGCAATCTATGACATATATGGGAAGAGAGGGCTGGAAGTGGAAGGATGGGAGGTAAGTTGGCTATTCAGAAGACTAAAAAATGCTTCAGCATTCGTTTCATACTTCCATAACATTTCAAGCAAATAATTTTCCCAGTGGGCTTTTGTGTCATCTTTTTTGGGCTCACTATAATAATGATTTCTAGGTAGTGGAGAGGAAAAGAACACCAGCAGAGATCCGTGAAGAGTATGAGCGACTTCAAAGAGAGAGAGAGGAGAGAAGACTACAGCAAAGGACCAACCCTAAGGTTTGACCTAATGCCTTCAAAGCAGCAGCCACTGTCATCATTAATACAGGTCTCGCTGATTGTTCTCTGTTTCACTCAGGGCACAATAAGCGTGGGTATTGATGCGACAGACCTCTTTGATCGCTATGAGGAGGATTATGAAGAGATCTCTGGTGGTGGCAGCGGCGGCCTACCGCACATTGAGATCAACAGGATGCACATATCACAGTCAATAGAGGTATAGTCCTTACATCATGTTTTTTCTGATGTATATTCTAGATTACTGTTCAGAAGTATGGGTCAGTAAGGTTTTTGTGTTTCTTTTGAAAGACATAAATAATTTTATTCAGAAAGAATGCATTTAATTAAAAACAATAAAGATGTGTAATGTTACAAAAGATTTCTATTTCAAATAAATGTTGTACTTTTGAGCTTTCTGTTCTTCAAAGAATACTTGAAAAAATGAATCATGTTTCCACAAAAATATTAAGCAGTGCAGCTGTTTTCGGGTGTGATAAGAACTGTTGATCATATATCAATGGTTTTAGCAACAAATCAGCATATTAGAATTATTTCTGAAGGATGCTGTGACACTGGAGTAATGGCTGCTGAAAATTCAGATTTTGCAGATTATCACAAAAATAAATTATATTTTACTATATATAAAAATAAAAAAATTCTAATAATGTTTCACAGAATTACTAGTTTCACTGTATTTTGTTTAAATAAATTCAGCCTTGGTGAGCAAAAACTTAAGAAAACATACTAACTCCAGTCAGTTATGAAGTTATGATAGGGCACAATGCAAGTGTTAACATATAAATATGCTTCCTGTGTAAATGACGTGATGCTCATTCTTTTGTCCTGTTGAATTTATTCATGTATTTAAAAATGCATTCATTACAGTGACTTGGTATTTCATGTATACAACTATCTGTATTTGTTTGAAACACTTTTTACTTTGAAAAAATAAATGTATGTGTCTGTGTTAAATATATAGAATTATAAAAAATATATATTTATATTTAATCCATTAAATTCAAACTTTAAAATTTTTTCAGGGGAAAAAAACACACGAAACCTACATTTAAAAAATACTTTCTAACAGACTTGTGATTTAAACTAGATATTTCCTTTCTTTTAAAAGTTTTTTACTTTCATTTATTGTGGAAGCAAATCATACTTATATGTCATTGGCCCTGATCTTAATACAGTCGTGACGCTATTATACTGTCCATCTCTGCTCTCACAGGCTCCTTTGACAACCTCAGACACAGTCATTCTTTCCGGCTCTCTCTCCACACACAACGGAAATGGAGGAGGAAACATAAACTTGGCCTTGCGACGAGTCACCTCGGCTAAGTGCTGGGGAGAAGTAAGTGCTGTCAGTTAATGCTGTACATAATAATGGACTAGATCAGTGGTTCTCAACCTTTTTTTCCACCGGGCCGCACTATGGTCCAACTGCAAGTCTTGCGGGCTGCACATCATTTACATATTACGTCAGCAATACAAACCAACCTGATTTATAATATTATAGCCTAAATATTATGATATCTAATCGATTACATTCATTGAAATAAATAAATAATTCTACTCCCCATAAATAACACCCAATTTTGTGAAATTCGGCTCGAAATGAGTAACAGCACAATTATAGGCGGAGTTTCATTTTTATGCGTGGGGGGGCATCCACTGACAGACGAGCCACGAGCACTTTTTTATATGTTCTACATTTCATGTATTTATGTAACACATATTCTACATTAAAAAAATTAATTTAGAATGAACAATAACTGCTGTACAAAGATTAAAAAAAAATTAAACATACCTAATGCAGAAAAGCCGCCTCTTTTTTTAAAGGGATAGTCCATTCAAAAATGTATATTCTGTCATCATTTAATCACTCTCATGTTGTTCCAAACCTGTATGCGTTTTATGACATAATATGAAAAATGTTGATAACCAAACCAGTTCCCCTTTGACTTCCATTGTTTTGGAAGTAAATGAAAACTGAAACTGTTTAGTTACCAACATTCTTCAAAATATCTTCTTCTGTGTTCCACAGAAGAAAGTAAGTCATACAGGTTTGGAACATCATTAGGCAAATGATGACACAATTTTCATTTTTGGGTGAACTATCTCTTTAACAGACCCTTTCTCTGTAGTAAAACACGTTTTTAATACCTAGTCATGAATATTTCATGATTGTGATTTATGTTCTTTTGCAGTACTAAGTGACCCACAATCTAGAGCAATCTATGACATATATGGGAAGAGAGGGCTGGAAGTGGAAGGATGGGAGGTAAGTTGGCTATTCAGAAGACTAAAAAATGCTTCAGCATTCGTTTCATACTTCCATAACATTTCAAGCAAATAATTTTCCCAGTGGGCTTTTGTGTCATCTTTTTTGGGCTCACTATAATAATGATTTCTAGGTAGTGGAGAGGAAAAGAACACCAGCAGAGATCCGTGAAGAGTATGAGCGACTTCAAAGAGAGAGAGAGGAGAGAAGACTACAGCAAAGGACCAACCCTAAGGTTTGACCTAATGCCTTCAAAGCAGCAGCCACTGTCATCATTAATACAGGTCTCGCTGATTGTTCTCTGTTTCACTCAGGGCACAATAAGCGTGGGTATTGATGCGACAGACCTCTTTGATCGCTATGAGGAGGATTATGAAGAGATCTCTGGTGGTGGCAGCGGCGGCCTACCGCACATTGAGATCAACAGGATGCACATATCACAGTCAATAGAGGTATAGTCCTTACATCATGTTTTTTCTGATGTATATTCTAGATTACTGTTCAGAAGTATGGGTCAGTAAGGTTTTTGTGTTTCTTTTGAAAGACATAAATAATTTTATTCAGAAAGAATGCATTTAATTAAAAACAATAAAGATGTGTAATGTTACAAAAGATTTCTATTTCAAATAAATGTTGTACTTTTGAGCTTTCTGTTCTTCAAAGAATACTTGAAAAAATGAATCATGTTTCCACAAAAATATTAAGCAGTGCAGCTGTTTTCGGGTGTGATAAGAACTGTTGATCATATATCAATGGTTTTAGCAACAAATCAGCATATTAGAATTATTTCTGAAGGATGCTGTGACACTGGAGTAATGGCTGCTGAAAATTCAGATTTTGCAGATTATCACAAAAATAAATTATATTTTACTATATATAAAAATAAAAAAATTCTAATAATGTTTCACAGAATTACTAGTTTCACTGTATTTTGTTTAAATAAATTCAGCCTTGGTGAGCAAAAACTTAAGAAAACATACTAACTCCAGTCAGTTATGAAGTTATGATAGGGCACAATGCAAGTGTTAACATATAAATATGCTTCCTGTGTAAATGACGTGATGCTCATTCTTTTGTCCTGTTGAATTTATTCATGTATTTAAAAATGCATTCATTACAGTGACTTGGTATTTCATGTATACAACTATCTGTATTTGTTTGAAACACTTTTTACTTTGAAAAAATAAATGTATGTGTCTGTGTTAAATATATAGAATTATAAAAAATATATATTTATATTTAATTCATTAAATTCAAACTTTAAAATTTTTTCAGGGGAAAAAAACACACGAAACCTACATTTAAAAAATACTTTCTAACAGACTTGTGATTTAAACTAGATATTTCCTTTCTTTTAAAAGTTTTTTTACTTTCATTTATTGTGGAAGCAAATCATACTTATATGTCATTGGCCCTGATCTTAATACAGTCGTGACGCTATTATACTGTCCATCTCTGCTCTCACAGGCTCCTTTGACAACCTCAGACACAGTCATTCTTTCCGGCTCTCTCTCCACACACAACGGAAATGGAGGAGGAAACATAAACTTGGCCTTGCGACGAGTCACCTCGGCTAAGGGCTGGGGAGAAGTAAGTGCTGTCAGTTAATGCTGTACATAATAATGGACTAGATCAGTGGTTCTCAACCTTTTTTTCCACCGGGCCGCACTATGGTCCAACTGCAAGTCTTGCGGGCTGCACATCATTTACATATTACGTCAGCAATACAAACCAACCTGATTTATAATATTATAGCCTAAATATTATGATATCTAATCGATTACATTCATTGAAATAAATAAATAATTCTACTCCCCATAAATAACACCCAATTTTGTGAAATTCGGCTCGAAATGAGTAACAGCACAATTATAGGCGGAGTTTCATTTTTATGCGTGGGGGGGCATCCACTGACAGACGAGCCACGAGCACTTTTTTATATGTTCTACATTTCATGTATTTATGTAACACATATTCTACATTAAAAAAATTAATTTAGAATGAACAATAACTGCTGTACAAAGATTAAAAAAAAATTAAACATACCTAATGCAGAAAAGCCGCCTCTTTTTCTGAATTGCGTAGATGACCACTATCTTGCTTTCATCTCTTCTGAAAAAGTTTTAGTCAAATCGTTTTCAGAGCTAGAGCCCTGCATTTCAGCCCGGGCCCGACGGGCCCCGACTTTTTTACGCCCCTCGGGCTGGGCTTCGGGACAATTTTCATGTCATAGTTCAGACGCGGGCTGGGCCTCAGGCCTGTTTTAGACTTCTCCTTATTTTTATATTTTAGACATCCATCAATTAGTGATGAAAAAAGATTGCCGTGCTGGTGGAAACAACACGAGACAGTGCTACCGAGACTGTCAAGAGCGGCTCGACGGTGTTTAGTGTCCAGCAGCAGCAGCAGCATGTATGGTGCCTGCCGTCAGCGCAGCTGAAGAGTTCTGCTTTCAAATGCATGCAATAGGCTTAAGTTTGCCGCAAAGCTTCGGCAAAATTAATTACCATAAATGCGTCAGGGGAAACAGTAAGGAGATATTTGAATTTACTAATAAACTAATGTTTTCTGAGTCGGTGTCGCAAGGATGAAGTTGTCGATCCCGACTCGCCATCTCTTCATTAGACGCGCCTTTAGAGAGAAGTGCATCTTTACGGATTATGATCATAATGAAAGTTTTTGATTCGTTTTATTTTGTTAAGTAGTAATTTAAAGCTTTCTATAGATATATTTATCATGTCTGTGAGGCATGTATTCGCTGAGTTTCGGTTCATTTTTGTGAAGCGCTCCTGTTGAAGAAGAGACGGCAGAAAGCGCATCATGTTTGATTTCTTTATTTTATTAAAGCATATTGTGAGTGCACACAAATAAAATCTGTTTTATATCTATAGATTTTATTTTAGTCAAGTCGTGATGATTTGAGAAGGCTAAATTGATCAAGCATATGCTCACTGTCTGCCGCTGGCCACTTGGTCGTTACTTTAAATGCGTAATGTTAATTAGGCTATGTAAGTACTGCTCATGTCTGAAAATAGTATATGAAAAACAAAATTATTTTACATAAAAACATTAGGCTATAGCTTATATTTATTTAGTACATTTTTAAATTAATGTAAAAACTAAAATGAATTGTAAAACTGAAAGTATTTTTTTAAAATTGTGTTCAGCATGGTGGGCGGCATTTGAATTCGTGACGGGCCGCGGGTTGAGAACCACTAGACTAGATTATCATTTTTGCTGAACTTCTAATCAAACATGATTCGTACATGTTTAATACAGGTTGAGTTTGGGGCAGGAGACACACATGGCCCTCTTTTTGGGTTAAAAATTTTCCGTAACTTAACTTCACACTGGTGAGTACAGCACATCTCTGTTTTTAAGAAATTTCGTTTAATTATTGTCCCTTTATTTTTGTTAAAAATTGTAACTCTTGACCGGGGGGGTTTTTTTGTTGTTGTTTTTTTTTTTTTTTTGAGCGAATTGTATATTGACGATATATTTGTGTTTTTTAGCTTCACAACGGCTCATTGTGGCATGCAGTTTTCATCCCGCGGCATACGGCCAGGGCTCACTACTATGCTTGCACGCCACCTGGACAAAAACACTATGGGTTATTTACAGTGGCGCTGGGGTACTCAGTCTTCCATGAACACCAGCATCGTCAGGGACACCAAAAGCAGCCATTTGACCTTCGCTGTGCAGGTCAGTTGCTTGTTTTGCAAAGCACCACCTAATCTTTATTCCAGTGGTTTTTTTTCTCAACCACTGTTCATGATCTTTTATTATTGCCATAGTTGGGAATTCCACATACATTTATCATGATGAGCTACCAGTACAAATTCCAGGATGATGACCAGACCAAGATCAAGGGCTCTGTCAAGTATGTATCTGTGAATTCTGCCTTTGTTTTTTTGTATTTTGCATATAGATGGCTTGTAGTTGTATTTTTATCTAGCTACATTTGCACTTTATAAATAATAACCATAACCAATTCATAAATCTAGTTAGTTAAAACGGGTATTTAAAAAAAAAAAGGTTCTGGTAGGATTTGTCAGCCAATATTAGCTTTGAGTATTATTATGCACAATTTTTTTAAATAATTATTTGTTGATAAAGTTGAATTTATTTATTTATTTTTACATTAATTATTTTTGCTGTATTTGAAGAGTTCTGCTAAATCAAATTCTTTATCATTGTTATACTTTATCAATGTGCTTTAAAAGATTTTGCTTATCAAGCACCCTATTTGGCACAGATTTTTTTCTGTGCCAAATAGGCAGAACTAGACTATTTGCACTTGTAAACAACAAAAACAAGGTTTGCATCAAGTTTGGATTAAATTGGATATGTACCCTGTCTGACCTCTAAATGCTTGTATCTTGTGACCAAATACTTATTTTACAGAGGAATTTACCAATTAATTCTTTAAAAATCCTACAATGTGATTTTCTGGATTTTTTTTCTCATTTTGTCTCTCATAGTTGAGGTATACTTATGATGAAAATTACAGGCCTCTCTCATCTTTTTAAGTGGGAGAACTTGCACAATTGGTGGCTGACTAAATACTTTTTTGCCCCACTGTATACGTTGAAATTCACTTTTACTCGTATTAGTACTACATATTTTAATCAACTGCAATCTTTGGGTTGAGCTATTTTGTAATTGAATTAGGTTAGCCCTGTATTTGTGTTTGCTTATTTCACATTTGATATAAAAATATTATACAGCAAACACTCTGCAGTATTGCTGTGGACTCCCTAGGGGTCACAGATCTACTGTTAAAGACAGCCGGTCTATTGAATGTAAATAAACAGGAAAGCTGTGTATTTGTCCTTGCAGTATAAATGCAGCATCTGTCTGATACGCTAGATTCTGTGTTCATGTGACCTGCAGTTTATTTGTGGCTGATCACTACCAACTGTCTTAATGATTCTCATTTTCTGTTTCTAGCCTGTTAAAATAACAGCACTTGTGTTGCAGGTCAGGGTTTTTCGGTACAGTGGTGGAATATGGTGCTGAAACTAAGATCAGTCGACACAGTGTCCTGGGCGCTACTGTCAGCGTCGGAGTACCTCAAGGCGTCTCTCTGAAGATCAAGTAAAATGCTTTTGATCATTTTGAAGCTATATTCCAATAGCAGTTTTTCAGTAGCTCTGAAATCGTGGTATTTTTGTCTATCCCAGGTTGAACCGAGCGAGCCAGACGTACTTCTTCCCCATTCACTTAACAGACCAGCTTCTACCCAGCGCCGTTTTTTATGCCACTGTCGGACCCCTTGTGTTCTACTTGGCCATCCAGCGGCTAGTTATCAGACCTTACCTTCATGCTCAGCAGGAACAGTAAGCCTTTTTAGCTGATTAAATGTGCGGAGTCACACTAACATGTTTCATTTTGTTGTCTTTTATTGGCCAGTTGACTTCCCAACACTCTTCTCCAACCTTTATCCCCTGTGAGTCTGGAAAATAATAGACTGAAATCCGTTTAAATGGCTGTGAAACTGTGAGTAAAAGAGCAAAAGAGTAAATTAAAATTGAACCTTTCGTCTTTTGTTTAGGGAGCTTGAGAAGCAGCGGGAGAGTTCGGCATCAGACATTGCCAAGAAGAAGCAAGAGGCAGAAGCAGCTGTGAGTACATAATGTCTAAATACACTGCAAATAATTTATAATGCATGACCGTTTAAAGTGGTCATAACTTTCACAGAAGGCTCTTTGTATTCGGAGAAACAATGAGTTAGCATCAGGCTATCGTTCCTATCTGCACATCAGTCGCTGTGTCAGGGTGATAAATGTGTGCCTTCACTATGTGCATATACAAGCAGTCTTATTTGAAATCACTCTTTTCTCTAGGTTCTGCTGATGCAAGAGTCTGTGCGTAGAATTATCGAAGCAGAAGAGTCCAGAATGGGTATGACCGCATAACACCCAATAGCATTGGACGTGATCAAACTATGATTTGAACTTTCTGCCAAGTGAGGATTGGTGACTTCAACTCCTTGTGTACCAGGTCTGATCATCCTCAATGCCTGGTATGGCAAGTTTGTGACAGACAACAGCCGGAAGCACGAAAGGGCAAGGGTCATTGACGTGACGGTGCCTCTACAGTGCCTGGTGAAGGACTCCAAGCTCGTTCTCACAGAAGCCTCTAAGGTAAAGCACAGTTATGCTTGCTTTTAGTGATCGACCGATATTGATATTTTATAACCGATACCAAATATTTGCATGTTTATGTGCCCGATAACCGATATGCAGAACCAATATTTATTTACTGTTATAAAGTAAATAAATGACTGAGTGAAGTAAGTCCATACTTCACTTTGGTTTTTCCTCCTTTCAGTCATCTTTAAGTGTTGAAAATTAGCAGTTTTTCTTGTTAAATTTAATCTTCATATTACAACAATAATTAAAAAGATTTTTAAAACAATTTAAAGCATCAGCAGCAACACACTAATATTAACAATAAGCAAAATAAATGTAGAAGGTCTAATGTTTTCAAATGGAGAAAATAAATAAAGGAAAGGAGTCATATCCACTTCATTTTAAACTACAGTTTTAGTAGGTTTATAATAGGCTAAATAGTTTTTAATAGGCTAAAGAGTGAAGAATAATTCACTGGATAATGTGAATTCACTGAATAATATTCTCTGGAATATTGAAATGTAACAAACAGAACATCGTATTTTATTGCATTTCTCAACTGGCATGTTATATCAGAATTACTAATAATGTTTTTGTCATTCTAGATTATGAAATGCCTGCTGACAGCTAGCAGTTTATCTATGCAGTTACACAAAACTATACTCAAACTGCGATTGCTCGTGGAGATAATAAATAATTAATTTCCATAGAGTTGTATCTATTTATATGTTTATTAGCGAAATAATGGTTATATAGTAAATGTTAATACAATTTAGGGTGTTTTAAACAAGTGAATCTTGTTAAAAGTTACATGGCGTGGCCGTGCTGGAGCATTTCTTGAGCATCAACCCGGTGAGTGAACAGCAATATGAAAGCGGCTTCACGAGACTAATGATGAGCATAGACAACAGACAGAGAATTAAATTTAGCGTTTTTATTTCCAACATGCGCTCATTCATGGCTGTATTATTTAATTAATGCAAAGTTATGTCTTTATTGGGAGAGGACTTGACGGATTATCTTAGCCTACGTAACTCCGACTTCATGAGATGATGAGCAGCATAGACAACAGAGAGCAAATTGGTTATATAGTAAATGTTAATACAATTTAGGGTGTTTTAAACAAGTGAATCTTGTTAAAAGTTACATGCGGTGGCCGTGCTGGAGCATTTCCTGAGCATCAACCCGGTGAGTGAACAGCAATATGAAAGCAGCTTCACGAGACTAATGATGAGCATAGACAACAGACAGAGAATTAAATTTAGCGTTTTTATTTCCAACATGCGCTCATTCATGGCTGTATTATTTAATTAATGCAAAGTTATGTCTTTATTGGGAGAGGACTTGACGGATTATCTTAGCCTACGTAACTCCGACTTCATGAGATGATGAGCAGCATAGACAACAGAGAGCAAATTAAATTCAGCACTTTTATTTCCAACATGCGCCCATTCATGGTTGCTTATTATTTAATTCACGCAAAATTCCGTCTTTATTGGGACAGGACTTGACGGATTATTTTACGTGTCTCCGTGAGTTCGTCTCTATTTCTTCAAGCCAAGCTGCATAAACTGCATATCAGGCATTTATGTAATACATCTAATTTGTGCATTAATGGCTGTTATGTTAAATAAAGTTTACTAACTACAGTAAATCAAGAACCACGCCGTTGTTGTGGTCTTGTTTCCTCTCAGATGCATATTTTAAATTCTCAAAACATCCACAAGATGCCGGCGTTTATCGGTGAATCCGATATTACAAAACCGATATCCGATTATTGTAAAATGCTTAAATATCGGGAAAAATATCGGGAAATAGATATATCAGTCGATCTCTACTTGCTTTGTAATAGGTTTTGGTCCAGAAGACAAGTAAGGGATGAGAGGAGAGTGTTATTGGAATAGCAATAAATTCTCAGAAGGTTTTATCTAGTTTTTTAAAATGTTTTGCATGTGCTTTCTAAAGCTTGATTTTGCTTCTGAAATATGAAATGTATTTTTTTGCATCGCTGTACTGAATAAAAGGGAAAAGAAACTGCAAATGAGTGAAAAATGTAAACTGTTATAAATAAAGACATACACAAGAGTTCAAAGGTTTGAGGTCAGTGTGATTTTTATATTTTTTAAGAATATACTTTCAGCAAAGATGCATTAAAATCGTTAAAAATGACAGTAAAGACAGTTATGTCACAAAAACTACAATTTCATATAAATGCCGTTCTTTTGAACTTTGTTCATCAAAGTAGTATCAGTTTCCACAAATATATGTGACCCTGGATCACAAAACCAGTCATAAGGGTCAATTTTTTAAAATTGAGATTTATACACCATCTCAAAGCTGAATAAATAAGCTTTCCATTGATGTATGGTTTGTTATGATAGGGCAATATTTGGATACAACTATTTGAAAATCTGGAATCTGAGGGTGCAAAAAAATCAAAATACTGAGAAAATCGCCTTTAAAGTTGCAATGCATATTACTAATCAAAAATTCAGTTTTGATATATTTACAGTAGGAAATTTACAAAATATCTTCATGGAACATGATCTTTACTTAATGATTTTTGGCATAAAAGAAAAATCAATCATTTTGACCCATTCAATGTTTTTTTGGCTATTGCTACAAATATACCCCAGCGACTTGGTCCAGGGTCACATATTAACCTGAACAACTGTTTTCAACATTCACAATAATAAGAATTGTTTTGAATGGTAGTGTATTTATCCTGTAAGTTTCCTTAATATTCCAATAAATGTTGAAATAAAAAAAATGTAATTTTGAAATGTAGCTTAATGTATTAAAAAAAGCCTCAAATATTCTAATGTTGCACTCTAATACTGTTGCATGAGGGATGTTTAACAAACAAAAAGATACAAAAAACCAAACCTTGAGAAATCCGAACTGTTTCACCCCTTATGTTAAATGCTGTAGCAGGTATTAATTGATTGTTTTTGCATGCATGTCCTCAGGCTGGGTTACCGGGCTTCTACGACCCCTGTGTAGGTGAGGAGAAGAGTCTGAAGGTGCTGTATCAGTTCAGAGGTGTGATGCACCAAGTTCTGTGTGGTGACACAGAAGCACTCAGGATACCAAAACAATGTGAGTACGCAAACCAGACAAAACAATCTGCAGTTGTTTTAGAGCATTTATTTTAATTCTTAATATCCTGACTGTATGATGACAAATGCTTACTTGTGTTTACCAGCAGTAAAGATGAATGCTATTCCCAATTGTAATTTAAAATCTCATGTTCTTTTGTCTTTCCTCTCCCTTGTAGCTCACAGGATTGATAATGACAGTTAGGAACGTGTATCTCTTGAGCTGAAAGGGACAATTTGGACTGGTATAGACTGATGAGACACAGATGTTCTGGAGTAGTGCCCTGGAAACACTCTGTGCCCTTAAAAGTCTCCATATACCTATTTATCCTTTATTTTGTTGCTGTTTTAAATATTATTCTACATGATGTCTGTTTGCAAATTAGAACATTTAATTGGAACATTTAATTTGCTGGATTTCCATGAATAAAAATGTCCTTTCCCAGAAAAAAGCTTAAACAACAGATATATTTTTGTGTTGGTAGGCCTTAAAACCATTTTTAAACAAAGGCCCCCCTCCTCAAATATGGAGCCACAACGGTGCCTGTAATCAGCACTCCGCAGAGAGAGCTATTTTACCCTCATTACATCACACAGAAACATTGCTGCTTGATCCGACTCACTGAATCCCACAGGAGCTGGTGTTCCCCCGCTGTCAGCCTTCTTTCTATATCTGACTTTTTGTACCACCAGCTTCCAAATAAATGATCTTGCAAGTGTATAGGAGGCAAAGCATGTTCTTAGTGAAACCCTGGCTGCTTAATCATTTGCATTATTTTTCTCTTTTATCCCTTCCCTCGAGTCTAATATTTGGAGGCCCACCTCTCGTACTTCACGTCTGCCAGCAGTGTCATAGGAATTGAAGGGGCCAATGCACACACTATGCCGGTATTGTCTATTGCGTGCTGGTTGAGGAAACAGAATGTGAACTGTGTACTAAATCTCCTGTAGGGCTAGTCTCCCACCTTGTGTCCAAAGACTTGAATAGCAGTGGATGAAGGGATATTAGTGGAACGTCCTCTCTGTTTGTATTTTAAACTCAGTCTCCCTTAATCCCTGCATTTTAGTGCCATAATTCATACAGGATTTTGACCCACCCCCATTACAGTCTTTGGTTTATTTAAATTTTTTTTTTGCCTTTTTGGTATTTGGGATCTTTATGCAAGAAAAATTATTTGTCTTGATAAATGACTAATCTTTTATTTGAAAGACTGGCTGTATGGAATGTATTTTCCTGTTTCCTTTTTGAGTTGTATAATTTATGAGATGTGTCCATTCTGCACACTTGCCATTTAAATGATGTTAAAAAAGACCATCTATGGCTGGAGGAGTTCAAAGGTGTTTGTTATACTTTACCTAATGGCCTACCACTTGCAGCAAGTATAGACTGTCATTTTTTAAATAAATCTTCAAGGAACAATGGAAATAGTATATTGTGTTTGAATGGTGTACATGATTTTTATTTAAAAAATAGAGCAAACTTACATAATGTTTCCTCAAATGTTTTCAGCAGGGTGACATTTGATAGAATTCAATCAATAACACTTTACAATAAGGTTCTGTTTAACCGTAGTTAACTAGTTCATGTTCATTTCAACATTCACTAATACGTTATTAAAATCAGAAGTTTTATCTGGTAATATTTGATGGACCCGAGCTAGCATGTACTAGCAATTAACTTTTATATTTTTTATTAACTAATGTTAACAAAGATTAATGAAAGGGACCTTACTGTAAAATGTTACCATTTATTCTATAAATGTTCTCCTAACAATCCTTTGGGCAGAAAATCTTTCACACAAGTCAAAACCAAAGCAGAGTAAATTTAAGTTTTAATTGGACATATCTGTCCAATTAAAGAAAAATATTGTCACTTTTGCTGCTTTTCAAGAAATATATTTGTTGAACACATTTTCCATGACCAAAAGGGTCAGGCTTCTTTAAAGTTCAACGATGTTTGTGCAACCCGAGGTCTTCATTACTGCTTGACAACGTCTTGAAGCCACTTCCCCATTGGGAGCTGTAAATATCTTTGGTGATATGTATATCTATATCTGAGCTTTCGACGCAAAGTCAGAAGTTCTCTTTGAGCATCTTGCAGTTTGAGTTTCATTCTTTTTATCAATTTGCATTTGGTCTGCAACCTTTTCTGTAGCCAGCTGTTAGCATCTAAAACATTAAACAAACAGGCTTTAGTCGTGCATGGGTCCAGAAGAGAATAGGTGTGGTCTGTGGCAGCTAAATCCTGGGGAGGGGGGGGAAGCATTTAATTCATAAATATTATTATATATACACATGAATATAAGAGTAGGCTGTAAGATAAAAGATTCACCTTTGTGGTTTGACAGTAAGCCTCTTCATTGCTGTGAGAGTGTTGAGCATTATCATGCATCATCTCCTCAGTTTGAGTATCCTCAGTGAAAGGAGGCGTCCTGTCAGGTGCAGTGTCATCCCATTTATCAGCAGCAGATTTTAAAGCTCTCTTCTTACAATTATTTTGCTGACGGCACAAAGATGACAAGGAGACAAAGATGAAAAACACATTTTGTATTAAATTTATCTTGTGACCTTGTTTACCTTTGTATCCTGAGATGGGACTGTAAAGAGAGTTGGCACTGCGTTCCACAATAGATTTTTACGGTTGCCCAAACCACTGAAACAATCGGGTGTGAAATGAAGTGAACAGATAACCATGTGCTTCCTTGGCTGAAAGTCGTCACGTCCAATGTTCTCTAACCATTGTTTCAGAACCGATGGTTTACTGAAAGGGAACCTGACAAGGAATAAAGATGAATTTAGGATGTGTTTAATCATTTTGACAGTAAGCTGTCCATCATTACCTACCTGTGAAACGTGATTTCGGGATTTTTGTTATTGTACCTATTTGTGCAATAGTATGCAGAACAACTTTTCGGCATCTTTGCCCCGAACAAAGATGGCGCTTATCAAACGCCCCGCAGTGTCTCAAAATTATTACCACAACCTATAACATGAACATGATCTTTGTGGTATTATTTTATATATTCATTATATTACAATCAATAAAAATTAGATAACTCCGAGATAACATTTTCTAATTCAATCCTTAAAACGAACTATATTCTATTGCGTTTAGTTACGTTTTCCGGTGATTCACCTTCAGTCTTTTCAAAATAAAAGTCCTAGGGTCGTATACATAGAGTAGACTGTATAAAAACAGGTCGTATATGAAGGTGCACCCTAGTCAAAGACTAGAAATTTATAAAAGTCCTTAAGAGGGACTTTGTTTGGTAACTCATTGAATACTTCTGGTAATACATCTATTTATGATATGACAACTATAAATAAAAGAGTGGACTTAATGTGAACATTTTACATGACTGGTTAAGAGATACACGGTTTTTAAGTCCCACCCAAAAGATGGTTCTATGTCAAAACTCCATAAAAGGAAGTATGTAAAACACGTCAATACAGCTACTATTTAATTACAATGCTTATTCAACTATTTTTAAAACTGGTTCATATCAATTTCGTCTACGGAACCATGACGTATTGTATTTTCATTTGCATGTAGGAATATTTACTTGCAGTGTTTTCTTTTGCTTAAATAATGCTTTGATACGTGTGCGATTGTTTTGTGTAGTAAAAATTAAAAATAAACTTTACAAAGCACAATAATAATAATAATAATAATCATTCTAGTATTTTATGTATGTGTCGTGCTGCCTAATATGAATCACATTTGATCACGCCGCACATAACAATGGGCGTGGCCTCATCCCGTCAGATGCGTCAGATGAGCCGCGGCTGTAGGAGCGACTGAAGAAGAGGGGGATGGGGAGAATTGTTTTTGTGTTGCATTCCTGCAGTGTGTTTGACCTCTGACCTCATTGTTGTGTTCTCCTCGTCGTGCATTCCAAACCGAGGATTTCCTGCAGTATGCCAAAGGCTGCTGGGGCTCGCCTGTTCTTCGCCCTGTCTCTGTTTACCTCCGTTTAACCAGCGAGACGCTACAAAAAAAAACTCTCTGGAACGCAGCTGCTGCAACAACCGACAGCTTTTTTGGCAGGCCGTTCTACGGAAACGCGTGCGTGTTTGAACAGAGCGACTACGCTAGTACTTGGGGCGAAAGGGTATTATCAAAGACCCGTTTGGTATTGCAATTAGCCTAGCACGCTAGCGGGCTTGCCGTATATCACGTACACGTTTCATATCCGCTGCAGAAATCCACACCCGCGCGACAACGCTGAGGAAATGAAGGACAAACAGAAGAGAAAGAAGGAGCGCACGTGGGCCGAGGCAGCTCGCATGGTAATATATTAATCGTTTTAACTCAATTGTAGCGTTTAATCCCTGTGAGTGGGGTTAGGGGTGTTGTACGGGAGCCGCGAACAAAGCTGTGTCGCGCTGGGCTCGAGCTGTTGTCGGGTTGGACACATGCAGGCGCCGCCGCTGCTGTTTGTGTATCTGTAGGCAGTATGTGATGTTACATAACCCGGTTTTTACATTTGTGTTTACGTGGCTCTTAATCCACGGTCCTGTCAACATAAGCGTTACATTTCTAGTGTTTGTGTTTCATTTGAATGAAAGAACCCTTGCTGGTAGCCTAGCGTATTAGCTGCTCTGCCTGTTTGACCCTTTGTTTGCAGGGCTTCTTTTAGCGAGCGGAGTAAAATGCTGAAAATACCCATTGTGGGATCCTTGTCTGTCATTAAAGACTTCTTGTGTCCTCTACAAATGGTTTGGATGTTTGTGGGAACAAGGAAAATGTCACAGACTTAAATGAGGATCAAAGCTTTTTTTTTTTTTTTTTTTTATCCAGCACGAGTTTTGTTTGTAAATTTAACCCCTTGCCCAGTCTGTTGTATATGTATTCCTGAAATCCATATGATGATGAATTGTTCTATGTAAGGTCTTTTAAAAAGATGATTTTACACTTGGTTCAGTTTTTTTTTTTTTTTTTACCTAATATTGTTAGTCTTCGATAGTTCTCAGAAAATATTTGCCTACTGCTTAAAGGAATCATTCACCCAATAATGAAAATTGTAATTTACTCACCCTTAAGTTGTTCCAAACCTGAATGAATTTATTTTGCTGATCAGAACTTTGGATGTATATTTTCTATACTATTGAAGTCAATGGGGATTAACAACGGTTTGGTTACCCGCATTATTCAAAATAACCTGTTTAACAGAAGAAAGAAACTCGTACAGGTAGGACTGGGCAATATAGCTAAAAAATATATCAACGATTTAATGTTTCCTATCGTTCGGTATCGATAATTATTGAAATTTTTTATAACCTTTTTTAAAACAAAGCAATAGAATTTTTTTTTTAATTTAACCACTGTATTTATAATTGACACAATTTGAGACAAACAACAAATATTTTTTGTTTTAACAATCAAACATCTAATTTCTAATGTTTTATATGCAGATTAAATGGGTCTTTATTGTATAGGTCTAATTGTCTCCCGAGGCCTCACAAGGGCGCAATGAGCAAAATAATTCAGCGCATTTAAATTGTCAACGCAAGGAAGTAACTCTATAAAAACTTGCATTACGTCTAAATTAACTCAGAAATCAAATATAATTTAATAAATTGCATGAACAATTATGAACAAAACAGCATCATGTATTTATGCATTGCTTAATCCAAAGAGCCGAAGCGCCATTCACACAGATTGCATTTAAAAACATATGAGACGCAGTGAAAAGGAATAAACTTCCACAAATTCCTGACATATTTTCTAAAAGTTTAAACCGATTTAACTTTGCATGGCTTTCTATACATCTCTTCTGTGAGACGCGAGTGCAGCAGTCATATTTGTCCATCTAAAAAATGCGCTGAATAGGCTATGCGTTCTGTGTGAATGGCTTGGTTTCGGTTTTAACCTAATCAAGATCTTCTCCGCGTTGAGCTTCTATATTTGTCTAATATTTTGAATGAATAATGCAGCAGCTGTGCATCTCGTGGGCTAGACTTATAAAACATTCAAATGCAACAACATCACTTACATCATCACCGCATCTCGCGCCACTGATGATGCTCCCAGATGCACACCTAACATTCAAATGCAAATGTTTTTTAAATTTGACTA